GGAAAAAAAAAACAAAAAAAAAAAAACAAAAAAAAAAAAACAAAAAAACAATGAGCAATGTTGCTTTTCACCAGGCCCAACAAGCACACAGCAAACGGCAGTGCCGTGGGGGAGCTGCAACGGAAATCGGGGCAGTTCAGCTCCAAGACCGATCCCCGCCCCGCCCCGGTACTGACCACTTAGCAATACAACCCTGCAGCAATGGTCCTTCGCAAGGTCTCAAGCGGGACGGTAAAAAAAAAAAAATAGTAAGTTAGGTTGGCAAAATGAGGGTAATAAAAAGGAATCTCCCAAGGAGCCCACCACTCCTCCCTCCTAGGCCGCTGACTGTAGTAAAAGATTAAAAGCTAAGCATGGAGGGTCACGACTTTAATCCTATCAACTCTGGAGGCTGAAACACGAGGAGTCGGGAGTTCGAGGGCAGCCTGGACCAGGCGGTGTTTTGATCATGTGCTCGACCGGGCCTTGCCAAGCTTGCCACCCGCTTGGGAGGATGGACTGGAACAACACAGTAAACGCGAGGCCCGGGAGCCACCTCGCGCGCGCTGGGGGAGCAGCGCCGCTGTTGTCCCGCCGGTTGCAGGATGCGCGCAGGTTTCCGGCCCCGGGTCTCGGCGCTGCAAAGGTGCCCGCCGCGCTCCCGCCCCGAGCCCACCGGTGAGTCGCTGCCGCTACCCTCCCTCACCTGCCGGACCCATGTACTTGATCACGCCCTGGGTCTTGAACACCTCGCGGGCCGCCAGCAGCGCGTCCTCGCCGTGCGCCGTGTAGAAGTCGCCGCGGTCGAAGAGGCGCACCGTGGTGCTCGGCTTCTCCGGCATGCCCTCGAAGTAGCGCACGAAGCCCACCTCCGCCGCGCCCTCCAACTGCAGCGTCTCCTTAGGCTGCACCGCCATTTCCAAACCCCTGCACACAACTCCAGCAGAGACAGCGCGACCCTGCGCCCGCCGGGTCGATTCCCGCCTCCCCTCCAACGCCGCAAGGCCACGGCGGACCCCCGCCCCCCTCGCCCCGGTGAAATTCGTCCAATCAACATGCAGCACTGGGCCAGGTAGGTGGGACTCTACCGCGGTAGCCAATCATAAGCGAACCAGGCCCCAGCTTCCCGCGTTCTCTCGGGCTCTAGCTCCTGCGCATGCTCGCTAGACCTGGGACTTGCAGCCCCGCCGACGGGTATCCTCCTGCAGCTGTGCACAGCAGGTGCCCGGGTGGGTGGGGAACTTGGGTGGGCGGGGTCATCGAGTGACCGGAAACGTGGAAGGGAAACACAAAGAACTTGTAAACAAAGAACAACTCAGTCTTTTTTTTTTTTTTAAATATTTATTATATACACAGTGTTCAGCCTTCATGTATGCCTGCAGGCCAGAAGAGGGCGCCAGGTCTCATTACAGATGGTTGTGAGCCACCATGTGGGTTGCTGGGAATTGAACTCAGGACCTTCAGAAGAGCAGTCAGTGCTCTTAACCACTGAGCCATCTCTCCAGCCCCCTCAACTCAGCCTTGAATGTATAACAAGACACAGTACTTTTCCTTTTTCCGCAAACTGCCTACCTTAAGATTTCAGGGTGACCAGGCGGTAGTGGCGCACGGCTTTCATCTCAGCACCCAGGAGCCAGAGGCAGGTAGATTTTTATGAGTTCGAGGCCAGCCTGTTCTAAAGAGCCAGTTCCAAGACAGCTAGCGCTGTTGTTACCCAAAAGAAACACTAACTCAGGGAAAAATAAATAAGATTTCATGGTTATCCTCCACAACCTCCCACTAACTCAGCTTCTCACTTCATACGTCCGTTGACTAATTTATTCAAAAGACACTTTGGAAGCCAGGTGAGGTGACACAAGCCCTTAATCCCAGAACTCTGGAGGCAGAGGCAGGCGGATCTCTGAGTTCGAAGCCAGCCTGATCTAACAAATACGAACGGGTTCCAGGTCAGCCAGAGCTACGCAGAGAAACCCTGACTTGAGAGAACAAACAACAACAAAATGACACTTTTGGGCACTGGAGAGATGGCTGAGCAGTTTCTCAACCTCATAGAGCTCTTACAGTTGCCTCCCCGAGTTCAGTCCCCAGCACGCATGCAGCTCGCTCTACTTTGGAAACAGGTGTAGTGACTAATGCCGGAAAGCCCAGCTCTGAGGAGGTGGGAGTAGGAGGAACTCAAGTGCAAGATGAGAACCTTAACTCAGTATCATCTGTGGCTACACAGTCTGAGCTCCGTGAGACTGTAAATTATTATCGCATAGAGGGGGAAACCCTGCAGTGTTATAAATCTTCTACAGGGCTAATCAGCCGACTAAGACCTACGTGATTGCAGAGGGCTGAACTGTTGCAGGTCCAGCCTAATCATCCTGGACTAATTTTGGTCCCCTAGAGAACTGTTTAATGCCCACCTCTGTGTTTACAGCCTTGTGACTGTCAGGTAAAGTCTTTGTAAAATGTACAGACCCCTTAGTTTCTACTGACTCAAGACTAAAACTCTCATCCCAGAAGATCTAAGGCCTGGAAGAGCACTCCCCCCTCCCCCCCACCGCCACCTCCTGCTGTAACTTGCCTACTTGATGTTTAACCAATACATTGGAAAAATGCTTTGATTTATAACTTTCTTTGTTCTGTTACTGTGAAACTTCCTGAGGGCCATTGAAACGGCTCTGGGTAAAGTTTCTTGCACCAACCCTGATGACCTGAATTCCATCCTTAGACCTGGTATGGGGTACCCACCAGAGAAGACTACTTGACATGGGTTTAAGCCAATAGAAAGTCTTTATTAGCTAACTGTTGACTACACTGGGTGTTCAGGATCCCAGTGTAGCTGAGCCTTTCTCAGGGTGAGCTTTTAAGCACAAAAACTGTGTCCTGGCTTGATATGCTTCAGTTAACAAGAGCAGTTAGGAAGAGGTGGAACTACAGAAGCCAAGAAGCAGTTAGGACATTTAGAGATTTTCCCAGAACTCCAGCTTGGATGGATTAGGTCTTTGTTTTCGTTTTTTGCAGGTGGTACGGTCTACCCGCTGAACTCTATGGCCTCACTCCTTACAAGGATGACCCCAAGCTCAGTGTATAGCTGAGAATGATGGTGGAGTTTTGATCCTTCTGCCTCCACCATCCTAGCAGTGCGATTACAGGCATGAGCCGCCGTGCCTGGCCCTTTCCCAGTGTGTTTTTAACAGCCGGCTGAATTTAGACACTACTAGGCCCCATATACATTAGAAAACACAGAAGCGTAGATGATCTAACAGCAGACTCCCTCCCCAGCCACATTTCTTGGAGCTTGACAATAAGCTCGCCTCTTTCCCCAGCCCCCATCCGAGGCCATGAGCTTAGTTTCCCCTGCAACTTGAAGCTCCTAGTCACACTTGACGTGCTCTAGAGCCGTCCTCTCCTGGCCTTTCTTATGGACACTCCTGGTCATCCATGAATCCTCAGTCCAAATGCCTTCACAGGAAGGCCTACTCCGTTTCCCCACAAGTAATTAGTCTTCTAGTCTTCTTTCCTTCTTTTTTTTATTTTTTATTTATTTATTTATTTAATATTTATTTATTATGTATACAATATCTATCTGTGTGTATGACTACAGGCCAGAAGAGGGCACCAGATCCCATTACAGATGGTTGTGAGCCACCATGTGGTGGCTGGGAATTAAACTCAGGACCTTTGGAAGAGCAGGCAATGCTCTTAACCTCTGAGCCATCTCTCCAGCCCTCCTTCTTTTTAAAAAAAAAAAATTTTTTTTAGGACAGGGTTTCTCTGTGCAGCTTTGCAGCCTGTCATGGAGCTTGCTCTATAGATCAGGCTGGCCTTGAACTACTCACCGAGTCTGCCTCCCATGTATTGAGATTAAAGTTACTGTTTGTCCGGGGACTTGTTTTTTTTTTTTTTTTTTTTTTTTTTTTTTTTTTGTTTTTCGAGACAGGGTTTCGCTGTAGCTACGGAGCCTGTCCTGGAACTAGCTCTTGTAGACCAGGCTGGCCTCGAACTCACAAAGATCCGCCTGCATCTGCCTCCCGAGTGCTGGGATTAAAGGCGTGCGCCACCACCGCCCGGCTTGTTCGGGGACTTTTTATTACCATTTCTGATAGATGTTAGTAGATATAAAATGAAGAACATAGGCTAGCCTCAGACTCAATATATAGGTATAGCCTAGGCTAACCTTGAATCCCAGCCTGTAGGGCCCATGGGTCTACCCCTGCTCCTGGGGTTCATCTTGAGGACAGTTTCTGGCCAGCCAGCTAAACATCCTGTTTGTTCCAGTGCTCCCTCTGCCTCACCTGGTGGTTAGCTATAGGGCCATTGTTTACTCCACCTTGGGCGTGGTAATTTTTCACCTACCTGGTGTGGGGGGGGGGATTCCATTGTGCAGCAGCTAGGTATATAAGGATTTTCCTAAACTTGAATGAATGGCGTTCAGCTGATCTCCTTTCAAATGACCCAGGTCTCTGTGTGTTCTTTCAATCTCCAGGCCCTTGCCCGACTTGCAAACTATATCAAGAGTAATGCAGGAGTTACACCTGCCCTCTTGTCTGCTTTCTGAAGTATTGGGATTACAGGCATCTGTAATCTGAAAGGTTGTTTTAACATTTTTTGCCAATAATATGCATATATTAACGGCTAATAAACTCCTTTGTAAGTTGTTACCAATTTCTAACTCAAGCCTGGGTTTTTTTCCCTGTGAAGCTGTGGAATCACTAAAAAGACTGGCAGTTGGGCAGTGAAGGAGACTTCACTTGGGCAAGAATAGTCTAGCCCTTAGTCTGGCATAGTGGCACACACCTATCTCAGCACTCAAGAGGCAGAGGCAGGTGGATCTCCAAAGCCAGCCTGAGTTCCAGGACAGCCAGAGCTTATTACACAAAGAAACCCTGTCTGGAAAAAAAAAAAAAAAAAAAAAAGTCTACCGTTTTCTACTCTTGGTTATTCAAACCAAGGCAGATGGGTGTGGTCACACAGGAAATAATCCCAGCACTTCCTGGATCGGAGCAGGTGGAGCAGGAGTTCAAGGCCAGCCTCAGCTACCTATAGAATTTGGGCCCAGCCTGGGCTCCAAGAGACCCTATTTCAAAACAAACAAAACCAGAACCCAAGAATGAAGCAGGAGAAAACTCTCAAACCACCTTCTCAACCAACTGGGGGCTGGGAGGTTACAGAAGCGGGTTAAGAGAACCCTAAATGTGCCGCACTCAAGAGGCTGAGGCAGGGGTGTTCAAGGACAGTCTGGGCTACTCGGAAAGAAAAACCAGTCGGGTGGTGGTGGCGCATGCCTTTAATCCCAGCACTTGGGAGGCAGAGGCAGGCAGATCTCTGTGAGTTCTAGACCAATGTGGTCTACAAGAGCTAGTTCCAGGACAGGCTCCAAAACCACAGAGAAACTGTCTTGAAAAACCAAAAAAAGAAAAAAAAAAGAAAAGAAAAATCCCAGCCAAGAGCAAATGGCTCACACCTGTGGTCCTGTTGCTCAGGAAGCAAAGACAGGTGAATTGCTGCAAGTCCGAGGCCATCGAGGTCTGCACAGGGAGACCTTACCTAGAAATTAAGCAAAAATATGGGGTGAAAAATTAGGGGCAAAGGATAGGCTAATGGAGGGAAAGAATATTCATGTGTTTTCCGGGAATGAGAGATTTTTCTTGAAATTGAACACCACCTCTTTTCACGGTGTTCACACAAGGCAAGAGAAAGAATAACATAGTGATTGCAGCGGGATCAATGAAGACAGATTAGAGGAGCATGTATTTGTGATGGAGAACGACAGTCTAGTGACTTTTAAAAAAATGTAGGTTATAGAGAATTTGGGGCTTGCTTCTTGTTGACACAACCAACAGATCCTTGCTTTTGTTTTGGGCTAGTGTTTGGTTTTTGAGGGGAGGTCTCACTAGGTAGTCCTGGAGTTTACCGTGTATACCAAAGGGGCTGTAACTTCACAGGGATCATCTTGTTCTGTATCACAAATGCTACCTGTCTATGTCACCAGGCCCCGCTTGCCATTAAATGGTTGAGAGGAAACAGGCCAGA